GCCCATTTCTTATGAGGAGAGCTTGAGGGGTCGCCCACCCCTCGCCTCTCCGAGCCCGTCAGCACTGCCCACCCCTCTCTCCCACAGGACTTGGTGGCCTGGGTGACAGTGGGCTTCCTGCACATCCCCCACTCAGAGGACATCCCCAACACGGCCACCCCCGGGAACTCCGTGGGCTTCCTGCTCCGGCCCTTCAACTTCTTCACCGAGGACCCATCCGTGGCATCCAGGGACACCGTGATCGTGTGGCCCCGGGACAAAGGCCCCAACTACGTGCAGCGATGGATCCCTGAGGAGGGCGGGGACTGCTGGAAGCCTACCCCCTTTAGCTACAATGGGACTTACAGGCCCGTGTGAAGGGCTGCTGCCCCCAGCTAACTCCTCACTAGAACCCCAGTTCCCCCACCCCACCCAGGAATGGATAATAAACCTTCCAGGGCTCAGCTCCAATTACTGCTTCTTGTGGGGAGCACAGCGGGCGAGACACACCCCTGCCCTTGGCTTCCATTCACCTTCTCTACTCTATCCCAGAAAAGACCTCCATTACAAAGGCACATGGCAGCCCCTGAAACACGAACTTTACCTGTCACATTGGTTTTAAAAGCCTGAGGCTGACAGCTCCCTCTTGGGACTATGGGGGACCTCCCCTACATCACCAAGGGACGGGCAAATTAGCGCAAATGTAGGGAGACGCTATAGGAAAAATCTAGCAAAATTGCCCACACCTTTACACTTGGACACATTAATCCAATGTCTAGGGGTTTATCCCAGAGATCTGCTCACAAACACAGGAAAAAAATGTGTACACAGTGACTCACTGCAGAGCTGTTTGTCATAGCAACGTCTGGAAACAACCCAAACATCCATCTATGGGAGAGAGCTTGCAGGCCTGAATAAACTATGGCACGTCCACACGGTGCAATTCTAGGGGGTCGTAAAAGGAGCGTGAAGGAGCGCGTTCTCTGTACGGATGGGGGGAACCTAAGGAAGGAAACAACATGGGTATAGAACAGTGATGGCGAAC